ACTCACATACGGAGAGATACATGACCACCCTCAGGTCTGCTTGTCCATCTAAATGAGAGAAAGTGACCATGTGGTCTTATTTGTTAAATGTAGGCTCCTATTTTTAAAATTAGCTTAAAAACGAACAGTTGCTCTTCGACTGAATGCAAAGATCACCAAGGGGGACAGAGGTGTGTCTCATGAAAAACTGGGCTTTACACTAGAAAGAGATGCCCATGTTGAATGAGGAATGCTGGTGATGTTGTTACGTTTTGAATCCATTTTAAGGAGACTCAGATCAAGGCAGATAACCACTTAAAGGTCTAACTAATAGTTAGAGCTGGGTAGTAGATGAACGTAGGTTGCCTTGCAGGCTCTTTTGCCCTGAGTGTGACACCAAGACTCCGAGATATAGATCAAAAGTTACTGTGGACAGTTAAACACTGGGCAAGGAACATTACAAGATCAAACTCTCCGCACAAGGAGGATTCAGAGTCTTAAAATAAGATAAAAATCTTCACGGCACACAAGACAGAGACAATCAAACTGTGACGATGATGATGCCAGGGTGTTTTAGAGTTGAGAGGTATCAGGCTTCCATGTCCAACAGGGTAAATTGGGAGAAGAGACTTTTTGGCCCACAGGTAGTAGCTGAGAAACAAGACCTCAGAATTTATGTAGCACTTCCAGGGGGTTATGCTGTCCACAGGCTTTCTGAACTTGCCAAAAGACGGAAGTGGTTTGAATCCCTAAACAGCAGCTTCCTTGCCTATGAAATGAGTGCAACAATCTTTGCTACTTGAGAAGTTTTGAAAATTGAATCCACATAATTTAATTAACATAACTGAGGCCATGCCAGGCACCTCCTCCTAAGTGCTCAATTAGTGTCAGTTATTATTATTAGAACTTCACTTACATATGTTAATTTACTCATCTTGTTTGAAAATGCCACTGTTAGAGTAAAACATCAGAAAATAGAAAGTAATTATGCTAAATAGGTGTCCTTAAACCCTGCTAGAAGAAACCATGCCAAATATCTTTACTCTTTCTAATATCTTTTGAGGATTAAAATTTCACCTAAAACTTTTTAGTTAGAAGCTATTTTGAACAAGAATAAACAAAACTCATTCATTTGAAATTAAAAGAAAAATAACCCATGCTTAAAAATAGCCAAGTCAAAAAAGTAGATCTAAAGCACAGGACAAAAAATTCTCTTGGAATTCAATATTATTTTAAAAAAATCACATTTTATATTAAATTTTTTGATTCAGCTTATTGTCTGTGTGTAATTTTGTTCAAGGTTGGTTGTCTAGGTCTCTCTTCCAATATCTACCTTAGCAGGTGTTTTGAGCAAAACCACTGGTTTTTATTTCAGAACCATCTCACTTTCAACAATATATGAGGTTTATTCACAGGACTCCGGTATCAGGCTGGGAGAACAAATGGGTTCTGAAGAAGAGACAGTTTCCCTAGTTTTGTGGCAGAATTAGATCCCATGTACCTAAAAATGGAATCTGTGGTTTAAAAAAAAAGCCTCCAAATTACTTTTATGCTTTTATTGAAATCTATTCTCAAGACACTCTCTTCAAGAGCCATTTAATATTATAGTAGATATAATATCTTGTCTTAGTCTACTAATTATATAATAACCCCCAAAGCAATATTACCCCTGAAATATAACTTTACTGTCTATTTTACCAATCACACAGAGTTCAGTTAACTAACTTTATGAATACGTATCAGCCATTTTTGAAACCTGACGGACTGATGTGGAAGTGATCATAGTTAAGGATGAAGGGCATGGGGAAATAATCTATCCAGCTTGAGCAAATACCATGATGGATGTGATCTACTTGGTCCAACATGTCTTATCTCCATCCATTACTTATCTCTCCATTTGGAGAGATACAAGGAAAAAATGAAAATATGAAATTCAGTCAGATATTATAAAGTACTGAAAGCAATTGGTAAAATATATCGCCTTTGGGTTTCATTAATTTAGTTGTCACCAAACTTTGGTATAGCTATCAGAATCCCTAGGTTGCTTGTTAAAAATGGAAACGTTTTTATTATTTTTAGTTTGTTTCACAAATCTTTGGGTTGGGCTTGCAAAATGGAATTTCCCTGGGGATTTTTAACATGGTAATCCAAAGACTACAGGTTGAGAATCTTGGCTTCTTTCTGATATTAATATTGGATAATATAGAAAATTTTCATTAAAGTTAGCTTCAGAAACATAGGCGGTATAAACTAACCTGCACAGATCAAGCTGTTATTGTGATATATGCACCTTCTACAGTCTGACAGAGATGGTAAAGTGAAATACTAAATGGGTTGCTCTACTTGGATAAATTAAACCACATGGTGATTCATTATATTTCCACTGACTCATGGCTTAGAACCACAAACTGTTACTTTTCTACAGTATTATATAGTCTGAACCTTACTTTTGGTGGCTGAGCATCAACTCTTTAGTATTACAAGAGACTCATATACACAAAGCATGTTATATTTTCTCAGTTATCAGACTCCAAGCTTATTTTTATTTATTTTTCTTATTTTACATATTGATCCCAGTTCCCTCTCTTTTCCTCCCTCCCTCTCTCCCACCCTCCCATGCCCCCCAACCACCCTCCCATCTCACCCCACTCCCCACTCCACAGGTAGGGTGATGCCTTCCAGGAAGGGTCATCAAAAATTGTCAAGTCATTTGGTGTAGGGACTAGCCCCTTCCACCTGTCTCTAGGTTAAGGGAGTATCCCTCCATGGGGAATGTGCTCCCAAAGTCCTTATGTGCACCAGGAATACATCCACACCAGAGGGACCCCAGACTGATAGCTGGGAATCCAGCATTGGACCTACTCAGACCCCATGAATATGGGTCTCAGTTAAAAGGCCTGGGGATTGCAATCATTTTTAACCTAGTGTAAAACCTCTTTTTAGCTTTTATGAATAGGGAGCCACAACCTGTCAAAGTAATGGCATCAGAGAGGCATTGACCCAACTTTCAATGACCCTCAGTTACTTCATGGTGGGCACTTTGACCGCAAGAGATGACATGAAGCAATGTGAATATCAGTCACACAGAAGGGTGGAGCCATAGGGTTTAGAGTCTCCTTTGTTGAAGCTGTTGCTAATCATTAACCCTTACATTGCTTTGTGCTTCATTTGTATTCCTTCAAGTAGTCATAGTCTAGACACACAAGTTATATAAGCAGTACCTAACAAAGGAGGACAGAGGAGGGTCCCAAGTTCAGTTCTTTGAACTGTGACATACCTTCTCTGTTTCTTACTGCAAAGCAACTGATGAATGACTTACCATGATCAAACATGCCTGAAGCTGGAGTAAGGCTTTCCAGTCTAGCCAGTCCTTCATTAGATTACATGTAGAAACTTTGCTGATAGGGATTCTGGGAAATGCAGTTTTTTAGCATATTATGTTTCTGTTTTTGATTCTAGTAGAATTGAAACAGACATTAAATGGCCCAGGATGCACTAAGTATCAAATGGCTTAGCCAATAACAAAAATTAGGCAAACTTCAAATTGCTGGGCAAGAGGTGGGCTTTAAACCCTCCTATTATTTTACTATTTATTATTGTTTATTATTCAAAGCTCTGTCCGTGTAGCCCATGGCCCCTTTTCTGTTTTTAGAGATGCTCTCACTTATATAGTCCTCTGTAGCCTACCTAGCTATGTGAAGCCTGCAGGATCCACCTACCATGCTCTGTCTGGCCTCAACTCTTGGTCTTCTTCTCTTCCATTGGCCTCTTCAATGACTGACTGGTTATAGCAGTTTGTTTTTAATTTAAATTTTTTTACTTTACTTATCAACCCCAGTTTCCACTCCCCATTCCCCTACCCCTCTACACCCCCTCCACCTCCACTCCATCATCCACTCCTCCAATGGGGTAAGGCCTTCCTTGGGGAGTCAATAAAGTCTAGCATACCAATTTGAGGCAGGACCTGGCCTCTCCCTCCTGTTACAAGGGATCCCACCATAGGGAATGGGCTCCAAAAGGTAACAGATTGAGCCACAGAACTGTCACCCACTTTCAGAGTACCTAGTTTGGTCCCGTGCAGGTTCCCCAGCTGTCAGTCCAGAGTCTGTGAGCTCTCACTAGCTTGGGTGAGCTGTGTCTGTGCTTTTTCCCATCATGGTCTTGATCCCCCTTGCTCATTGTGGCAGTTTTTTTTTTTTTTTTTTTTTTTTTTTTTGATTTGTTTTTAAATTACCCCATCCAATAGGTGGCAGTATGAACCAGTTTGTATGAATGTGATTAATTTAAAACTAAACAAGTACCTGATTCACATCTCTCATTAAAAAGTAGCATTGGAGAAAATACTTTAAAGAATTAAGTGGGGAAGTACTTTAGAAATTGGGGTAGTGCTGAGTGCAGAGTACATGGGAAACAGCCGATGAACAAATGGGCATGTGGGCCTTTCTGAAAACCTCCCAACCCAGAAAATCATGCCACAGTGACTGATGTTTTCACAGAATTTCGTTCTGAAGTGCATACTCTACGATCAATAAGTACAAGTCATGTGTGGGCTGGTGTCTTCATTTCTACCAGCCCAGATGCCAGGAAGTAAAACTAATGTATAAAGTTACTTCCAGAGGTAGGGGCATGAAACTGAAATGTAAACTTTGTGGCTTCTTCAGAAAAGTATTCAGTGCCTGCCAAATACTTTTCAAACAATTTGAGTAACTGCTACCATGGTGAATGAGGCTAATAATCTATGTTCCCCATGAGGATACATACATGCTAAGAATAGTGCTTCTTCTTCAGTTGTATTGGGATTTTAGAGAACTACGTACTATAGACCAACCTGGTTTTGCTTATTTTGGGTAGGAGAAGACAGGTGGCTGGTTTATAATGTGCTGACGTTATCTTGCGATAATTTGCTTAAGTGTTACAAACTAGCAGAAGCACAACACTACCTGATGTGTGAAACTGTACCTGTGCCTGGTGACTTTGAGACCCTGACTGACCCAACATATGTTACGTTTCTCCTTTTCCAGCTGGACAGCGCTACGTCACTCATCCAGGCAGCCAAAAACCTGATGAATGCTGTTGTCCTAACGGTGAAAGCATCCTATGTAGCCTCAACCAAATACCAGAAGGTCTATGGAACAGCAGCTGTCAACTCTCCGGTTGTGTCTTGGAAGATGAAGGCTCCTGAAAAGAAACCCCTTGTGAAGAGAGAAAAGCCAGAGGAATTCCAGACACGAGTTCGACGGGGGTCTCAAAAGAAACACATTTCACCTGTGCAGGCTTTAAGTGAATTCAAAGCGATGGATTCCTTCTAGGACAATAGGCTTCAAACAAGAAAGCTTTTCTCTTTCTGCTGCCCTACCCTTCCTTTCTTTTTCATTTTGATTCCATTTTTGTAAGCATACCTGCCGACTTGTATGCCTCTGGCATGGGGAAATTAAGAGAACAGTGTCTGTCTGCATGTAAGATGAGATGAGATCAATACTACTGGTCCATCGGTAGCCTGGAGAGAGGGGGCAGGTAATTTCTGTCCTGAGGTGGCACGGAGCTGTCCTTAGCAACATTCTCTTAAAGTTGGGCAAAGAGTTCACAGTGCAATGTTCACGGGAGTGGGGGGTGGGGCGGGGAAATAAACTTAACTCTACAAAAGCAAACTAATGCATGCAAGACTCATTAGGTTGGCAGGTATATTCATAAGTGAAAAACCTGGAAGTGTAATGGTAGAACATAAAACCTGTACTGCTTCTGTTTCGGTGCAAAAATGTATTAGCCAATACGCTGAAGTGTGTGGCCCACAAATTGAACTACTTAACCTCAGTGTCCTGTATCCATGCTATCATGTGGATTCTTACCTCCGAGGAGAAACTAACTTGTCCCTTCTGAAATGCTCCTTTAATCTGCATTCTCTTCTTTCTTCCTGGTAGTGCCATTACTAGTGTTCCTATTATCATTTCCCCTCTGCTGAAGATAGTAAACATTCATTTGAGACACCCGGATACTTCTGCAGACGCTGATGACACAAAGTGGAGCTCGAGTGTCCTCTCTTCTGTTCCTTTCTTTCTTTTAAAACTTGAACTCTGACTTTGCTAGACATAGAAGGCTCAGTGGTGGAATGTTAGCGCAATGGAGATTGACAGTGTGTGAAGGTTTAGAGGCAAATGCATAGGTGTGTAGCTTGGAGTGCTGGTATCTAATATACCATTGTATCACTGACACAAAATAAACACATTTAATCTTGACACCTGGATAGTGTTTCATTTCTTTACATGCATGGGTAATATAAGATCACAGAATATCCTTAAACATTGATTTAAAAATGCTTCTTGTGCGATTTTTTTTTTATACAAATCAGCACTAAAATATATGCAGTCTCTCAGTCATTTTTCTTCCAGAAATGTGTTTTATGGTTTGTTTTGCCATTTGTTTTCTTTCACTTTCAAACTGAATCTGAAATGAGAGCGTTTGTATTTCACTTTTCTGGGCCACAACTAGTTGGCCCTAGGCTAAACTTTTAAAAATGTGGGAGTTAAGATTTAAAGATAAGCTCATACTAACTCCAGATATATTTTATTCACTTCCTTTGCTTTCCTCCTTAAATCAGAAAAAAACAAAGCCTCAGTCACATCACCAAAGATATGCTGAGTACTATTCAGCTTTGGACTGAGGGGTGGGGAATGGCACCTAGTTACTCAAATGAATAATTGAAGTTCCTCTGTTGCAGTGACATCTGCAAGTGTGCTGCCTGCAGGTGCTAGGTGAAATGTGTTCCTCAATGACGTCATAATGCCACGGATGCCGTGTGCATGCCAGCTTTGCAAGCTTATGTGCTTGATCCCAGAGTTGAAGGGATGGGAAAGTACTGGAAGGAAAAACAGCAAAGCCCAAAACCTTATTTGGACTTTGGTTCTGTTAAGACCACCGCTGGCTGACATTTAAAACACCACAGAAGCCATGATAGAGGAACCACTGTAAAAGCTGTAGAATGATTTTTTAACACTGATCATTAAATGTGACACTCATGCCCCCATAATTTGCAAAATTCAGAGACTCATCAGTGACTTAAACAAAATTTGAGCCAGGATATAGGCTGAGCTCTGAGCTCAGCAAATGTGCTAGATACCTTCCCTTTTGCTATCTAGCATGATAGTAACCAGCATACTTCTTGTCTAATGACCAGAATAGTGATGACAACGCATTCTTGGCAGCATTGGTTTAATTCGGGGAAATCTGACCTTCTCAGAAACAGCAGCTAAAACATTCCTTTGAGCAACATTTCCCTAAAAATATTGCCAATTCCATTTTTCTCTTCCCTAGAGGTTTTTTGTTTTGTTTTGTTTTTTTAACTAAAGTTTTTTTTTCTTATTTTATATATTGATCCCAGTTCCCTCGCCCTGCCCCCTTGCTTTCTCTCACCCTCACAGCCCCCACCCCCTGCACGCCACAGGAAAGGTGATGCCTTCTGGGAGGGATCATCAAAATCTGTCAGGTCATTTGGAATAGGGTCTAGGTCCTACCTCCTGTTAAGGGAGTATCCCTCCATGGGGAATGGGCTCCCAAAGTTCTTTTGTGCACCAGGGATACATCCTGGTTCCACTGTCAGAGGTCCCTTAGACTGCCCAGGCCTTCTAACTGACACCCACGTTCAGGGGGTCTGAGTCGGTCCAATGCTGGATTCCCAGCTATCAGTCTGGGGTCCATGAGCTCCTCTTTGTTCAGGTCAGCTGTCTCTGTGGGTTTTTGTAGCCTGGTCTTGTTCTCCCTCTCTGCATCTGGATTCTAGTATGGTTCAGTGTTTAGCTGTGGGTGTCTGCTTCTGCTTCCATCAGCTACTGGATGAGGGCTCTATGATGGTAGATAAGTTAGTTATCAATCTCATTGTCAGGGAAGGCATTTATGATAGCCTTTCCACTGTTGCTCAAATTAGTTGGGGTTAGTCTTGTAGGTCTCTGGACATTTCTCTAGAGTCAATTTTCTCTTCAAACCTATAATGGCCCTCTCTATTATGGTATCTCTCACTCTTTTTTTTTTCTCTTGTTTATTCCTCCCCTGACTCAATTTCCTAGTCTCGTGTACTTTCCTTTCCTTCCCTTCCCTTTCTCCTAGCTCCCTCTCCACTCACTGCTCCCCCCTACTCCCAATATGCTCAGGAGATCTTGTTCCTTTCCCTACTCCCAATATGCTCAGGAGATCTTGTTCCTTTCCCCATCTATGAGGGAATTTATATGAAACTCTTAGATTCCTCCTTGTATCCTAGTTTTTCTGGCAGTGTGAATTATACAGTGGTGATCCTTTGCTCTATGTCTAAAATCCATATATGAGTGAGTACATACCGTGTTCCTCTTTATGTGACTGGGTTAACTCATTCAGGATGACTTCTTCAAGTTTCAATTTGCATGCAAATTTCAAGATTCCTTTTTTTTTTGCACAGAGTAGTACTCCATTGTGTAAATGTGCCACATCTTCTTTACCCATTCTTCAGTTGAGGGGCATCTAGGTTGCTTCCAGGTTCTTACTATTACAAATAATGCTGCTATGAATATAGTTGAGTACATGTCTTTGTTGCATGGATGTGGATCATTTGGGTATATGCCTAAGAGGGGGATTGCCGGGTCCTGTGGTAGACTGATTCTAATTTTCCTGAGGAACTGCTATACTGTTCTACAAAATGGCTGTGCAAATTTACACTCCCACCAGCAGTGGAGGAGTGTTGCCCTTTCTCCACACCCTCTCCAGCATGAGTTGTCATTGGTGTTTCTAATTTTAGCCATTCTGGCAGGAGTAAGATGGTGTCTCAGCGTTGTTTTGATTTTCATTTCCCTAATAGCTAAGGATGTTGAGCACTTAAGTGTCTTTCAGCATTTTTTATTTCCTCTATTGAGAATTCTCTCTTCAGTTCTGTACCCCATTTTTAAATAGGGTTATTTGGTGTTTTGTTGACTAGTTTCTTGAGTTCTTTGTATATTTTGGAGAAGAGCTCTCTTAGATATAGGATTGGGGAAGATCTTTTCACAGTCTGTGGGCTGCCGTTTGGTCTTGTCAATTTGTGTCCTTTGCCTTAGAGAAGCTTCTCAGTTTGAGGAGGTCCCATTTATTAATTGTTGATCTCAGTGTCTGTGCTACTGGAGTTGTGTTTGGAAAGCGGTCTTCTGTACCAATTTGTTCAAGGGTACCTCTCACTTTCTCTTCTAAGGCTGGATTTATGTTGAGGTCTTTGATCGATTTGGACTTGAGTTTTGGGCATGGCAATAGAAATGGGTCTATCTGCTGTCTTCTACACACTATCATCCAGTTGTGCCAGCACCATTTGTTGAAGATGCTTTCCTCCTCCCATTGTTTGCTTTTAACTGTTTTGTCAAAAACCAGGTGTTTGTAGGTGTGTGGTTTAAATCAGGATTTTCGATTCGTTTCCATTGGTCTAGCTGTCTATTTTTGTGACAATACCAAGCTGTTTTTGGGACTATAACTCTATAGTAGAGCTTAAAGTTGGGGATGGTGATGCCTCCTGAAGTTCCTTTATTGTACAGGGTTCTTTTGGCTATCCTGGGTCTTGTTTTTCCATATAAAGTTGATTATTATCCTTTCAATGTCAGTGAAGATTTGTGCTGGGATTTTGATGGAGATTGCACTGAATCTGTAGATTGCTTTTGGCAAGATTGCCATTTTTACTGTTATCCTACCTATCCAAGAGCATGGGGAATTTTTCCATTTTCTGGTACCTTTTTAAATTTCTTTCTTTAGAGAAACAAAGTCCTTGCTATATAGGTCTTTCACTGGTTTGGCAAATGTTACCAAAAGATACTTTATGTTGTTTGTGGCTATTATAAAGGGTGATGTTTCTCTGATTTCTTTCTCAGTCCCTTTGTTGTCTGTATATGGTAGGGCTACTGATTTTTTTTTTTTTTTTTGAGTTTATCTTGTATCCTGATAGTTTTCAGAAAGTGTTTACCAGCTGTAGGAGTTCCCTGGGTGAATTGTTTTGGCCACTTATGTAAACTATCATATCATCTGGACATAGTGAAAGTTTGACTTCTGTCCAATTTGGATCCCCTTGATCTCTTTTTGTTGTGTCATTGCTTTAGCTAGAACTTCAAATAAAATATTGAAGAGATATGGAGAGAGAGGCAGCCTTGTCTTGTTCCCGATTTTAGAGGAATCGCCTTAAGCTTCTCTCCATTCAGTTTAATGTTAGCTGTTGGTTTACTGTATATAGCTTTTATTATGTCTAGGTATGTTCCTGTTATCCCTGATCTCTCCAAGACCTATATCATGAAAGGGTGTTGACTTTTGTCCAAGGCTTTCTAAGCATTTACTGAGATGATCATGTGGTTTTTCTTTTTC